TCTACTTATTATCTACTTATAAATTATATATATATATATATATATATATATATATATATATATATATATATATAGTATATCTACTTATACACTTATTATCTACTTATCCAATTGCTTATACACTCTCACACTCCCATTAATTTTGTTTACACACTCATACATTCTTTAGTAATATAAAAGTAGTTAATTGTTTCACTTATCATTTTAGTATTAGTTCATTGCTATAAAAGTAGTTAATTGTTAGTTGTTAGTTTATTGGAAATAGTTACATTAAAAATTGTTAGACAATAATTCGAAATTAATTGTTTACTTGTTAAACTAGTTAATTGTTACATTTCTTAATCTCCTATAATACTAGTTAATTGTTACATTTATTATTCTCCTATAAAACTAGTTAATTGTTACATTTATTATTCTCCTATAATACTAGTTAATTGTTACATTTATTATTCTCCTATAAACTCCGCCATGAGATCAATTTTTTTGGTTTCATGCCTGTCCCAAGCCAGGATAAAGGAGGAGGGTCCTGTGGTAGGCGCATGACGGCCAACAGTATTACCTAGTCACATCACATGACATGAATCGAAATATGAATAAGATGCGGGAGTCACGCCTACGGTGGTTTGGTCATGTGCATAGAAGACCGAGTGATGCACCTGTCAGACGAGTTGAGAAGTGTGGAGAAGAGGTAGGGAAGAGAGGGAGAGGAAGGCCCAAACAGACATGGGTTAGGGGAGTGAGAAGTGATATGCTTCTTCTTGGATTGGATGAGGGTATGGCTTTGGAGAGAGCAAAATGGAGAGCGGGTATTCGTGTGGAGGAGTGATCTTGTATCATCTTTTCCCCTCTTTTTTTTTCTTCTTCTTTTTTTCTTTTTCTTTTATATTTTTATCATTATATATAAATATTACTTTATCCTTTTTATTTGATCTTTTATATGTATATTCATCTCTTTTATATTATCTTTTTTTATAATAGCTTATCTTTTTTATCTTTATTTTCTTTCTTTTCCTTTTGGTGATATCATATATCGATTCATGTTAGCCGACCCCAATATCGTTTGGGACTAAGGCTTAGATGTTGTTGTTATTGTTGTTGTTGTTGTTGTTGTTGTTGTTGTTGTTGTTGTTGTTGTATTATTCTCCTATAATACTAGTTAATGAAACAAAAGTTTTTAAAATATTATTCCTACATTCTGCACATATATAGTATTGCATTTATTCTTGATCCTCGTTTTAGACTTGCTTCTTTGGAGCAATGTTTAGATTACTATTATGCTTCTTTTTTTTTGGTCCATTGCCTATGTACGACGACAAGGCCATAGACCCTAAACAACAATTCCAAGAGGTTAGTAATTCATTATATCAATTATTTAATGAGTTTCATGCACAATATGGTAACGCACCCCCTCCCCCGCCACGAACATCTTCTTCATCTAAAGGAAAGTCAATTTTGAAATCTGGATTTGGCAATCTTATGAAAAAAAGTAAATCAACTCCGGTTAATGAACAAAGCTCGATCAACGAGCTTTCTTTGTATCTAACATTTCCTGTTGAGTATGAAGAAGGGGATGACTTTGACGTTCTTCAGTGGTGGAAGGAAAAGGAGAGAATGTTCCCGATCTTATCAAAGATGGCTAAGCAAATGCTAGCAATGTCGGTATCAACAGTTGCTGTGGAACAAGAGTTTAGTGCGGCCGGCAACGTCCTAACGGATTATAGAACGAGATTGAGCGCAAACTCTCTTGAGACGCTGATTTGCTTTCACGATTGGTTGAAGGCCAAACGTAGAACTCAAGAAATTAGCATTGAACCCACCCGCCACTTTATGGAAGAAACAACCGAAGATGGCGGAAATTCTGATTGATTCTTATTTATTATAAAGTGTATTTCATGTTTTAATTTTTGCTCAATTTTCAATTGTACATTTGTACTACATATTTCAAATAAATATATTTTAACTTTTTTATGTCCAAGTAATCTTAATTTAATATTTAAACAAAAAATAAATAAATAGCCCGGGCCCGGCCCGAACCGGCCCTCTACCCGTCCGGGTAGGCCCGACCCGGACCGGACCCGGTATCACCCCGGGCCGGTTCCGGGTCCATGTTTCTAAAAAAAAAGCCCGCCCGGGCCCGGCCCGGAACCGGACCGGCCCGGGTCCAACCCTTGAAGGGCCTAATAAATGTATAAATGCATAAACATTTTGGTGGAGACATTACTTGAAACACATATACACTAGTATAAATACATGTACTTTTGTAATTTATTATTTGAAACATATTTTTAGTATTTGTGTAGTTTTTTTAACTGTATTTGTATAGTTCTTTTTTGTTCTTACAATCTTTATAAATTACAATTCATTATCACTCATATTTTAAACAATCATGCAACTTTATCATGTCTCAATCTTAGTAAGATTTTGAATATACTCCCTGTGTCCCTTATTTAAGTTCTCACTTTCATTTTTTAGATGCCTCAAACAAGTTCGCACTTCCATATTTGACAAATAAATTTACGTCAAAACAATGTAAAACAGTGTCAAATAGTGTCACAACAGTGTACTCTAACTCTACAGTAAAATTTACCTATTAGTAAATTTATTTTCTTAATATGTGTGAACTGTGAAGTCAAACTAGGAACTTAAATAAGGGATGGAGGAAGGAACTGAGGAAGTATTATTCTTTTATTTATTACCCTTGTCTAAATTTATTTATGTGTCATAATTTGGATTACGAGACTTGACTAATTAGAAAGTTAATCATTCCTTGTTTTTTTATCGAGAGATGCATGAGTGCATGACTTTATTAACTAAACTTATACGGAGTAGTTAGTTCTTATCAAACCAATAAATAAAGATATCCTAAAGAATAAAATTTGTGAAACAAATTTAATAATCCTTTGTGGATTCATATAATAATAATAATAATCTCTATAAATTACGTGGATTGGAATTTTGGATTAGTAGACATGCTTTCAGCTCAAAAAAATCTTATTATGAAAGTCAAAATCATTACGAAAACATATTAGTAATTACAATTTACATATTTAGAAGTAGCATTGAGGTTTCTATCAAATCGTAAAAGCAAATTCAAATATGATAAAAATTTGAGATGGGAATTTAGTGAAAAGAGATTTGAGTTGATCACATAAAATACGGAGTAGTAAACAAGAAAAACAAACGGGGTGGACATTCCAACATTGGAATTACAGCATCAAGAATTGATGAGGGAGAGGATTCAGGAAAGAGAGCGGAGCCGGCCCATGCCATGCGCTACCGCACAGCCCCCCCAAAGGAGGCCCCTATTTTATCTGCTATTTAGAAGCTGTTTTCTTCACTTGAACTGAATGTTTCTGATCAGTTTTTTTAAGTTCTGATCTGATCTGATCAGAACTTTTCTGATCTTATCTGATCCGAATCTTTCTGATCTGGTCTGATCCGATCTAAATATTAGTACTTTAGTACAGGAGTAAGATGCGTACATCCGACCCCCCTTACCCTGCCGAAGGTAATGATGACGATGATGTGATTATAAAGGAGAATTTAACAATTCTACACTTAATGTAGTGTACAAAGATGTCTTCAATTTTTAACACTTATTGAATTTGACACAAGTAAAGAAAATATTAAATTATACTCCGTCCATCCTCAAACCTTTGTCATCTTTCTTTTCTGGAATGTCCCAAAAACTTCATCACTTTCTTTTTAATCAAATAATTTGTGGTTCCAATTATTTCTTTCTTCCTTGCACAAACTTCAACCACACAATTTTTACTTTATTATAATAATTGAAAATTGTGGTAGCATATTACATACACATACATACATGAATACCACTACCTCCGTCCCCCTAAGTTTGGAACAAGAGAAATTGGCACGGTTATTAATAAAAGTGGGTTTATGTGATTGATATTGAATTGATAAAGTAAGAATAAAGTAAGAATTATTTAGAACCACACAAACTTTACCAAATAAGGTATGAGACAATCTTAGTGGAACGGACCGAAAGGGTAAGATGGGACAATCATAGCGGGACAGAGGGAGTATAACTTTTATGAGTTGTGTTGCAGCTTTATTTCAACTCTGAAAGTTCATGATAAAATAGAACTCATATATCAAACTAATTTATCATAGAAGTGTTATTATATAGTATAACTATTAGTTTTAAATTAAATTTAGACCAATTATATGAGGAATAGTGATGGACCGGTTCCAAGCCGCCCAGCCCAGCACTATTTGGAACCGGCCCGGTGGCCCGTCAGAGACCGGTTCGGGTAGGCCCAGCCCAAGGGTTAAGTTGGGCGGGCTCGGTTAACCCAAATTAGGAACCGGCCGGGCCCGGTTCGGGCTTTTTTTTTGTTTTTTCATTTTTTTTTGTTTTCAGTGTTTTTTTTTGGGGGGGGGGGGGGTTAATTAGAAAAGCAAAAAAATAGGAACCGGCCCAAGGCCCGACCCCGGTGGATAACCGGGCCGGTTCCGGGCCTCAATTATCTCCCAAAAATCCCGGTCAGACCCTGGCCCAGTCCATGCCTAAGGAGGAATGCTCAGGTCCAGGCGGAGGGACGGGAGCTGCCGTCCGAACTTCCACGTTTGGGGCGGTTCCCGGTGGAATTTTTTTATGATTTTTTTTAGCATATTCCTCATCAAGTCTAGTTTATCCATACGAAATTTCAACTCAAAATTCGATCGGGAAGGCAGTCAAATCATTTTTTGAAGTTGACTGCGCCAAATTATACATATAAAAATGCAGTCAACTTCAAAAAATGATTTGACTGCCTTCCCGATCGAATTTGAGCTGAAATTTGGTATGGAGAAACTAGACTCGATGAGGAACATGCTCAAAAAATTTCATCAAAAAATTCCACCGGGAACTTCCCCAAACGTGGAAGTTCGGACGGCAGCTCCCGTCCCTCCGGCTGGACCTGAGCATTTCTCATTATCTGAGAACTAAAAATTAAGAGTTAAATCCACTACTTCCTAATAACTATGGATTTATGGTATGGACGAAAAATTCATAAATATTTTATCTAAATAAATAAACACATGATATAAAACAATAATTATAAACACATTATTGAAGAGACCATCTCCACGACAGCAGTTTCCATGGTTTGCAATTTAATTAGCAAAATTGGTGTCAACTTTCTAGCACAACTACAACTACAGATTCAGCATTAACTGATGAGATTTTGTGAAGCACACCCCAAACATTTCCTCTATAAACTTATACTAGCTTGTTGATTGGTTGTTTGGTTGATTAAACTTCTACATAAAATACATACACCAAAAGAAGAGGCTTTTGATGCAGATTCCAAAATGCACAATATTGCATAGCATGCCATATATATTCAGTCTAACCTTGAGCTGCTGTTCCGCTTTCCCCACCATTTTTTTCTCATTTTGTCGCTAAGAACTTCATCATTCCCCAGCTTATGCAATATAACCTTGGTTTCCCTTAACCTTGTCCCGTAGTCCTTTTTCCATGTTTCAAATAATTGTTTCAACCTTCTTAACTCACGTTCAGGATTCACATTACTAGCCTCAACCTGACCAGACCTCACTTCCACCAAGAATTTGGCATCATCACCAAATACTTGACTCCTTTGCTCAAACTCTTCAGCCAACCGCCCTATTACACTTAGGCCTGCGCTCATAGACGGCCTCATCACTCCATTGCTATCCCATGTGGTAGCTCCTCTCTCGTCGCTTGCACTCACTGATGCATCAGAGTTCCTTGTGGAACTATCATCCACTGAAAGGCGGCTGTTCTTAGCAATTGACAGGCTGGATTGTAGCGATCTCATTTGTTTCTGCCACACTTCTTCCATGGACTTCATTTTCAACTCGTACTCTGACCAACGGCTTTCATACTGCTGGAGCCGCTGCTGAAAGACGTCATTCTCCTCTTCTTTTTCTCTAAGTGCAGCTTCAGCCTTCAGAACACGGAGTTGTAATTCAGCTAGAAATGAAGACTTCACTAGCACCTCTTCACAATCATTACCCTGTTTAGAGAGCCAATAAGTGTAAAATTTTGAAACAGAAAACAAGGATTGCAAAAAAACCACAACTACACTGTAGATGGTTCTTCCAAAATTTTGTTTCCAAGGAGCGGTGGTGGGTGCCTTGGTTCAAAATTTTGAAACATCACTGGAACTTACTACTCCTTAAGTCCCAAAACAGTCCTTTCAAATATATTTTTTGTCCCAAAGAAAGATCAACTTTACTAAAATGAAGCTAAACTTTCATGTTTCACGAGTCACAAATAATAAGACACAAACAAGTTAGTAAGTCGCATATGATAAGTGTAGTTAAACAAACACATCAATTTTATACTACGTATATGATTATGCATCATGATTTATGACAGTAGTACCGTACGGAAAATGTGCATTGGTCAAAACATGACTCTTTTTTAGGGAGTTAGGATAAATAGACAATTTTCCAGTCTACACTTAAAATTTTACACTGCAGAGAACATAAATGTTTTTTTACAGGGAAATAATGGATGGCACTTTAATTCCACAACTACCTTTCTGCCTCCAAACTGTAGCAGCCCTATATCCGTAGAGCATCTTCTGACTAGCCACCCACGAATAACTGGAAATGTTAATATAGAAGGAATCAAGCAAATCAGAAAACTACTGACGGGCACCTTTCTTTGAATAATAATCTTAAAACATTCAATAAAATATTAACAAATTAAAGATTCTTTATACATACACACAATGAAAAGACTTTCATGCTTGCAGTTTGGTTTATTTGTGTTTTCCATTAATGTTTTATGCATCTAGTGATGTAAGCAGAAAAAGAAACCCTAGCAGACGGTGTTAACGACTGCCCAGCCTTAGGCTCAAACCAAATCTTTATTCTCGATAATGAATAATAGTTCACAAGACCTCCTTAAATACTCCTTAACCTAATAATAAAATATGGCCATCTAGGCCCATTAACCTAATAATAAAATATGACCATATAGGCCCAACAGTTTATTAGACATAACAATAGACTGAAATAAAGTAATGAAACCCAACAGTCAACCCAGCCCAATTAGGTCCACTGACAGCAACCCATAAACTAATAATGGGCGAGGCCCGTCCTCCTGAAGCATTGGCCCGTCTGCCTCCCACTCCCTAACAATTTCATCCCCCTCCAAAACAACCTTGTCCCCAAGGTTGGAGTGAAGAAGCTGCTGCTTGTTTCTCCTTCTGTTCCCCTAGCTGCTCAACCTCTTCGGGCGGGATAAAAGATTCAGTTTGATTGAGGTCGAGTTCCTCATCTTCCTCGACAACCATTACTCTTAACTGTTTTAGGGGACATTCATGCCTGGGGGTATAGGGCTTCTTGCAACGGAAACAAAGCCCTTTTGCACGTAGGTCTGCAAATTCCTGCGGTGAGAGGCGTGTGAACCGAGAGCGATTCTCCGACTGGCCAGTCATGGCTGACCCGGACCCCGAGGTACTACCTGGAGATCGCGAGGAAGTTGTGCTTCCTGCTGCCCCTTGGTTTCCAGTAACTGGCGTGGAAGAGAGCCCCGAAAACCCGCCAACTTTGGTGTAATTACTAGAACGGCACTGCTGATTGTCGTATCCCCATTCTGATCTCCCTCCGGACTGTACGGCCAAGTCTTCTTCGCTATCTCTTGCTAACTCCATAGCAGCTTCCAAATCAATTGGGCGAAGGGTCCGTAAGGAACTGCGAATGGTGTCCCGTAGCCCTTTCATAAAGTACCCCAAGTAGTGGGCATCACTCAAACCTGGGACCTGACTGGCTAGTTGCACGAACAAATTTACATAGTCATCCATGGATCCTGTCTGCTTAACGTCAGCCAACCGTTCGAACGTGCTCCCTTTGAACCGAGTATCAAAACGGGCTACAAGGGCTTGTGAAAACTCCTCCCAAGCTATGCCAGGTTTCCGCGACCGTGTCCAAGAAAACCAGTACAAAGCAGGACCCTCCATTGCCACCATGGCTGACGCCACCTTCAACTCAGGTCGGGTCTGATGTATTTCAAATTGCTGATTGGCCCTGGCAAGCCATCCAATCGGATCTGCCCCCTCAAACGCAGGTAGCGTCAGAGGTGCGGTCACAGACCTAGGGTTGTGGGAGTTCTGCGAGTCAGCCGTGCCTCCTCCTCCTCCTGACTCAGAATCAGCCAGCGTTCCCCCCGACGCCATAACCTTCTGCGCCAGTTTGTCTAGGGTTTGCGTGATAGCATCCAACTTGGCGTTGGTGGATTGCAATTCTGCCCTGATGTCCTTCTGGTCTGCTTCTATCGCATCTATGCGTTGATCAATGGTGGAACGAGTCATGATGAACGTAGGGCGGTGGATAGGATCCGGCAGGTCAGACCAAATTGATAGAAGCAGAAAAAGAAACCCTAGCAGACGGTGTTAACGACTGCCCAGCCTTAGGCTCAAACCAAATCTTTATTCTCGATAATGAATAATAGTTCACAAGACCTCCTTAAATACTCCTTAACCTAATAATAAAATATGGCCATCTAGGCCCATTAACCTAATAATAAAATATGACCATATAGGCCCAACAGTTTATTAGACATAACAATAGACTGAAATAAAGTAATGAAACCCAACAGTCAACCCAGCCCAATTAGGTCCACTGACAGCAACCCATAAACTAATAATGGGCGAGGCCCGTCCTCCTGAAGCATTGGCCCGTCTGCCTCCCACTCCCTAACATCTAGCTTTCAACCAAGACAAATAAGAGAGGCTGGAGATTATGTTAAGCTTATGAAACCAGGTTTTCGAAGGTTAATTTGCTGTCCTTTGAACTGTAGGCAAACATGCATAGGGATGTCAGGATGTCGAAGGAAAAGAGTTGCACTTCAATGTTAGATGGCAAATGGGTCCTCCCATTTAAACCAATCCAAGAACTGAGCAATGATGGGTTCTCATTCATCTTACTGTGTAATTAATAAAATGGGTAAACCCAAACCTACCTCCGAGGAATGTGTTTGTCCAGATCGGTTATTGGATATGGGACTTGCATACAGATTAAGTAATTTTTTATTCTCGCCAAAGGCATAGTTAAGTTTAGAAACGACACCATTGAATCGTTGTTGTGTTGCAAAATCTTCGTTGGCTTCTTCTGAAGCTATCTATCTAAACTTAAAATATATTGAGCCGGTTTTCCTAAACATAACTTAGAATCCAATCTTTATTATTTCATTATCTAAATAAAGAAAAAGAAAACCAGAACATAATATTTGTAAGTGACTCCTTAAAAAAAATCCCCGAAAAATGGTTATCTGAATATTTACCTGATTGTATGATGATTGATGCACTTTGAACATTTTTGTAGGTCCTCCTGCAAATCCGTTCCTTTATCTGTTTCTGTATATAAACAGCGGCTCTATGTTTCTCCAGTGAGATTGCATATTTGTTTCTAGCTTTCTCACCACGAACAACTGTGCATAATAGTTTGAAACTTTGTAAAAGATTAGGTCCTAATAAACCAAGACAAAGTTTCAATAATATAAATCCTACATGCTGTTGATTTTATATATTTTTTTGAAAACTGTTGATTTTATATCGTTAACTAATCTAGACAAATGATTCACTATAAATTCATGTCACTGACCCAAATATTGTTGGGATTAAAGGTGATCATCATCATCATTACCCCAGTGCCGCAAAGGCTCCCACACCTTCGGTGGGGTAAGGGGTTGGGATTAAAGGTGATGGTGATGAAAAATACTACATGCACTCCCTTGTACTCCCTACTGTTATTATCTTAGGAATACAAAAAATTATAAAGAAAAAAGTGGTGTGGCTCGCCACATCAAAGAGTGCATATAGAATTACTCTTTCAATATTCAAATGCGTGCAGACATACATGACTGAAGAGTCGAAGCTGCTCTCTTCAAGTGTTTCAGGTAATCACGAGCTTGACGACCTCTAAAGCAACTTTGAACATGTACGATACCGTTGAGGGTGCGATTTCTAGTCTCTTCAAGCACCCCAACCTGTAAAATAGTAATTAAGTAACTAACTACGAGAGTACCTGTGTAAAGAGGGTGGAGTACAGAAATGCTACAGATTTGATAAGGACTGAGAGTTGAGGTAGCCCAAAAATTACAGCTAAGAAAAAATGTGGGTATTAAAAAAGACATTTGGATTTTGGGACTTCAAGAACACATGGTGCTTGAAAAAAAGTAAAGATACTGGTTGATGATGTTGAGGGATATTATTCTAGTTGATGTAGCCAATCCCAATGATTTAGGATTAACACTAGTTTGGTGTTATGGTCTTATCTCTGCTACTTCTCTTCTTTTTCTTAGTTCACAGGTAGCATAGGGCTACTTTATTCTATTTGTTTATTACCAAAAATAAATAAAACATTTTCATCTTTAAAATGAGTAAAACATCATTATTTAGTAGACAGATCTAGTATTATACGTAGTAGAATTTAGCAATCAAATACATGAATTAGTTGATACTCCACTTCATTTCTTGTCTTTCTTTTTTTCCAACCCAGCCAGAACTCAGAATTCATGGATCAACAATGCAAATAGGAAACTGTCTTTGTAGTCAATCAAGATCATCTTTTAAATGTTATTAATTGCATCAACGGGAACTTGGCTCACCTGCCCGGTTCGGAAGAACAGCTTAGTATATCCAACTTGATACATATCAGGCAGGATTTTGAACTGATGGAGTATGGAAACTGAAACACTGAGTGGATCTTGTGGTGCAGCACGGTCCAATAGAAGAAATCCATATCTGATGGCATTATTATGAAAGATGGTAAAAACTAAAATTTTATAAATTTAATGAGGAAAATCAAAATCTGTAAAAGATACCTTCTAGCGAACTTTTGATGGGACATTCTGGTAGGATATCCAGATCTGGATATTCGAACTACTTCTAAGACACCGCAACAACGCAGCTGTTGCAATACAAGCCCTTGGTCATACTCCCCTGGAGACTGAAAGCTGTTAGGCTTTATGCAACGTATAAAATGTGGGGTTGTGCTCTCTAGTCGTTGCATTAATTGAAATAGTTGAGCCTGAAAGCAAAAGAAGGGCCACAGTTTAGATACTAAAGCAACTATATTTTCCCAAGATCTCTACAAACTTTAACTAAATGGAAGAAAGAGTTTTCCCTTTATCAAATCTAAAATATTATGGCCATAGTGATATCTGCACCCTCATTGACTTCAGAATTGCAATACAATGATCATAATCAATATTAATATAGTACAACTATAAGATCATTGATCTAAACAGATGTATTGCGGAATGTACGAGTAGGATAAACACACCATACTTCAACTAGTGCAGGAAATATATTATGTTCAGTTAAAAATGTAATATTACCTTGAACTTTGTGGCAACACTTAACTTCTGAGAATCGGCTCCCCCGGATTTGTACAGGGGGCCTATGACAAGCTTTTCGCTTTGATTTAACATACTGGATGCAAATATCTGAGGAAGGTGGCACTTGCAAGAAGATAGAAGCTGAATAGAATCCAAGTGGAGTAAATCACGGTTCTTCTCAAGAAAGCCACATGCATCATAGGTTACCTGGAAAAGAAAAATACTGAACTTTTAGATTGAAGAATAAAAATATTAAATAAAAAAAGCTGAAAGTTTAAATCAAGCTATTCTGGAATTCTCCAAAAATAAACTTGTTCAATCCAAGAAAACTCTTCCCATAATGCTCTATATAATCATGAACCAGCATACCTCGCCTGCATAATGGCATACTGTGAAAGACTTCTCCCTGTCACCTCTGAAGCAAGAATTTGAATTTAAATGCTGCTTGAGTTTATTGGCAAAGGTCATGTCTGTGGCATTTGGAAAAGTGGATTCCTCATCTAAAAGGGTTAACAATCCAAGTGGCTTCTGTCATATGTCAGTAGAAAAATGAAGTTATAGAGAGATAAACTGCATAGCGCAATTCATTATACAACTTGTATGAAGAAAACCAAACGAGAAACGAGAAGAGTTCTCACATAAGCTGTGTTATTTAATCTGTGAGTACTCATTGAGTACTTGAGTATTGACTACTCGGCCCCAGACCTTGCCAAGTTGTCAGCCTACTTGGTCCAGTTCGAAAAAACAAGTTACACTTCTATTTTTGGTCCAGTTCTATTGTGAGTACTCATTCTGATTCTATTCAACTTCTATTTAAATGTGAAAGACTGGAAATAATAATATGGCTGAGCTGATTAGGAGATCACAAAAAGCGTTTAGAGACTTCAATTTAATAAAACACTGTTTCAAGGTTTTAACAGCTCTCAAGACTATAAACTCTCACTTGAGATCTATTTGTTGACATCAATGTCAATCACATACCTGCAACACTTTCCACTTTTGACAGTTTCAAAACAATTGCAACACTTCTATTTTTGGTAAAAGAAAATACGTGTAAGGACTATATTGCCCTTAACTCATTAAAATAATCCAACTCATCACTCCAGTGTATCCCCATTCCCCACTCACACACCTTACCCTCTCAACTTCTCTGCCCACCTCTTGATTCTTCTTTTTCCTTTCTGAATATAAAGGTTGACCCCCCCCCCCCCACCCACCTACCCTCCCAAACACCAACAAACAATTAGATACTTTTATATAAAGTGATTTCATACCTTCTCAAAAAGATTTAGGCAATCTTTGTTGTCATCAAAATCAACTTTTGTCCAGTCAATTCCATCTTGGACATATTCCTGAAAATATATCCACATATCAGTGCAGTGTAGGTATGGCTTGTACAAGATCAAACCAAAGCTCCTGGAATTTACACTAGAATCCAAATGCATGTGAATTCTAAGAGTGTAGCAAGCACTTATAGTCAAATAGTACATGCAACTACTTTTTCATCATAGTTCACATTGCTGTTCTTTTACTGTGTTAAACTAAAAATAAAACTATCTCTTGTGCTCCCTCAGAAAAATGAATCAGCACACTTTACTCTTTCGTCATTATGAGTCAAATAGAGTATAAAAACCCTGAGTTGGTCAAATCCAAAGAGTGATCTTGAACAGTATGATAACTCAAGAGAACCTAAAGGGACCACACCTATGGAAACGTACTGAAAAGCAAAATCTAAAAGTTCTTACATTATTACAAATTGTCCATTCAAGGAGGGAGAAAATAACACTAGAAATATTTGTTGACATAAGACTTACATTTCAAATAATATGGACTAGCCTATAAATTCGGTACAACTATAACATTCAGACCACTTTGCAGTAAGCCACTAATGCAGTGTGAACTATGAAGTATTATAGATTTATAGTAGAAAACCATTAAACCAATATTGGAGGGTTAAACATAGGTGTACTACACAACAACAAATTACAATTATCATTGTCTCAGACAACTAAGTTTATGAAAAAGGTTCCCAGCAAACATATACTCCCATCACGCAATTAAGTTCCTAATTAATGGGTTTTAGGAAAAATAACTTTTTATTGACTTTCCAAGTATGCCCTTCCTCAAAAGTATACAACAACATCCAAGTCTTATTCCCAAAAGATTTTGGGGTCGGTTTACATGAATTGATCCATGAATATTTCGATTCATGTCATGTGAAGTGACTAAATGATACTGTTAGCTATGACGCGCGGACGTGCCTACCACAACACCCTCCTCCTTTATCCTAGCTTGGGACAGACATGATACCAAAATGATCTCATGGCGGAACAGAGTTTCTTACTATTCAAATATTACCAAAAAGAGAAGCGGAAACCTAATTTTGAGACATCCCAAAAAAGAAAGTGAGAACTTAATTGCAGGACGGAGGGAGTATGCTCTATTCATGAGTTATTCTATATCAGTACCCATACGTTACACGGTACACAGTGAATGATTGATCAGATTTGGTTCAGATCCAAAATATTAACAAAGAGAAAGAAACTGCTCAAGTTTTGTAAGGGTCTAGCTCATCAGTTCAGATCCTGAACACCTGTGAAATAAAATAATAAAAGGGGCACACGAAATGGACAGAGAGAGTAGAAACTGTTGTTAGTTTGAGCTTAGGTTGGTGATAGACAAAAGCATCTTTCCAACTCACAAGCTTTTGATGTTAATTTTGAATCCCATATCCCCCATCTCCCACTGATGTACTGTGTAGTTGGTAGAAAGAGACTAATATCGTTTTCATCATATCTTGGAGAAAGATAGGGTGTACAGTTAAAAGGTAGCAAACAAAAACCAAAACCTAGATGTAGAAATGAGCATGCCATTGGCCTTTTATGTAAAACTTCAATGGAGCTAATAAGACAAGATAAATGGGAGTCACCTCTTGTTCTAACTTGAATAAGTGGCGATTGAAGTGCTGCTGCAATCTTTCGTTGGCATAATTGATGCAAAACTGCTCAAAGCTATTCCTCTGAAATTGGAAGGCAAGTGAAGTGTGTTTGCATTGCAGGACAAGGAAGAAATAACATTAACAAATAATTTAACAGGTCATACCTCAAATGATTCAAAACCATAAATATCAAGAATGCTAATAGATCTCCCAGTAAGGCGTTTTCCAACTGCAAGTGACTTGTTTATTTTTTCAACCAACCAGTCAAATAAGCAAGAATAGATTGATTTTGCCAATGCATCTCTTGCGTCAATGGCCTGATTTGATGGAAACATATGATTCAATAACTGACTAGTCTCTCAGTACATACCGTGTCAAAAGAAAGTTGCAATTTCCAATTTTCCACATAAAATGGCTTAATATTTGACTGTTCATACCTGAGATAATGTCAGCTTTTGAACTATATAATCTTTTCGAACTTGCATTGTTCGTGTTGATAAAGCTACTTTTAATGCCTTAACATCACATCCCAGTAATGTTGCAACAGTAGACAACCCTTGAAATTAGACCTTCAAAGTTAGAGTCAAGTTTCCAATATACGGAAAGAGCTACTTCTAGATAAGCACGTAAAAAAACCAGAAGTGCTAAAAAAGAGTAAAGGGTCAGTTTGGTCCTCGAAGTTGCAAAAAAGGCGTCAAATAAGTCCTTATATAGAAGATTCTGTCCGGACGTGCCATTTGAGGTGGCTCCCGGTGGAATTTTGTGATAAATTTTTTTTGAGCATCTTATTCATTAAGTCTAGTTTACTCATACCAAATTTCAGCTAAAAATTCAATCGGGAAGACATTCAAATGAATTCTTGAAGATAACAACGCTTTTAACGGCACAGTTATCTTCAAGAATTCATTTGAATGTCTTCCCCATTGAATTTTTATCTGAAATTTGGTATGAGTAAACAAGACTTAATGAATAAGATGCTCAAAAAATTTCATCAAAAAATTCCACTGGGAGCCACCTCAAATGACACGTCCGGACAAAAACTTCTATATAAGGACTTATTTGACCCCTTTTTTGCAACTTCGAGCACCAAACTGACCCTTATCCCTGCTAAAAAACATTGGAGCAAGCATATCTGATACTACGGAAGGGTTCTGTGAAGTTCTTATGACCTTTATCCACTCAAGACTCTTAAGATCTTAAAAATGTTACCTTCATCATCGACAGGTTCAACATGGTCTTCACTGTCAATAACTGTGAAGGACACATTCCCGAGCCATAACACTGCTGCTAGCATTGAGAATACACTCTCCTGATCCTCTTTGCTAACATGCACAACATCCAAAGCTTCCTAATGCATAAATATAAAGTTTAGGCTCTGGTAAATAATCTTTCTTCACTTGAATATATATATATATATATATATATATACATATTTTATACACACACACTCTGTTGCAGCAGCAAATTTTTATAAGAGACTAGGAAAGAAATTTACCGTGACAAATTCAAATTGTTCAGCATCATCAACCCCAGAAATTGAATAGCAATTGCTTTGTCTCAAATACATATACTCATCTACACCCTTCAAATTTAACTTTTCTGCAAGAAGACGTTTAGAGAAAAGTAAAAAACAAAGAATTTCATGATTAAGCAGAAATTTACATGGTAGTAGAGTAGGGAAAGAAACACTTGGACTATGAATAGCTAGCTATAAATGCAATCTTTGTAAAAACTATTTAGACATCTGATTTCAAATTTTTTAAGCTCTACTGCCTTTACAAAGCATAGGCAAAATTTAAAAGCCTAATACTATCTGTTTAAAAAATGTTGTGTTTGATGCAAGACTATAATTATGCAGTGACCATATTTTACCTTTTACAAATACTTGAGTTCAACATGGTTTTGGTTTAATAATACCCATCGTCACATCATACTAATACCTATTTTACAATGGATATATTCCCACCACTAATTACTTCCCCCATAGCCTAAAGATATAAAGGGATAAGTCATTTTCATGTTTTCTTCTTTAACAGCCTTATTTTGATCATGTTAAATATTACAAGAGCTCCCACTAAGAAGTGCAGGGACTTGTCAGGTGTCTCACAATGCTACTAGCCTACTTGTAAAAGAGCCTGAATCGAGTCCAACCAACAGAAGTCTGAATAATTGAAATGCAGTTGCTATTCAAATACGTTACAAAAACGTGCCGACACACACACACAACATTTTGGCAGACATGATGTTCGGCATTTGTACCTCTTAGTGCAGGTGGAGCTCCACAACATAGATTATAAAAGATATGATAGGACCTTTCTCCTTCAGTGCACTGAACAACTCTCGACTGCAAGAGAAAACTTTACGAAGCTCAAATACGAAACAAGTGAAAAAACAAATATTGAAAAACATAAAACAGAGATATACCTTCTCAAGTAGAACTTCAGCGATTAAGCACCATATAGCAGGTCAGAAAAGTAAATAAAGAAAGTGCATAAAAATGTTAGTCACAGTATCTTCATAGAAAGTAAATATCATACCCAATTATATATCACAAAATGACAAACTAGATGTTTGCTTACAAGTTTGAATATTTGCACCAGATATCTTTCCAGTCTCGCTAAAATGGATTTCAATCAGCTTTCCCTGACAATCAAATGTTAAAAATATAAATGACTAGAAATAGGACATCAGAACTAGCAAAAAATATCATAGCTTCCATGATTTTAATACAAAAAATGACTACTTCATGAATATTAAATTAAATCAAACTCACAAATCGACTTGAGTTATCATTTCTTAGCGTTTTTGCATTGCCAAAGGCCTCCAATATGGGATTTGTTTTCAGTATTTCATACTCAATTCCACTACCACCTCCAAGTGAAGCCAAGTATTGCATTGCAATCTTTGCTGTCTCAGTCTTGCCGGCTCCACTTTCTCCACTGGAGACAAAAGTATATAGTAAATAAATTAGTAACACTTGCAATATGCAGTAAAAGTAATTCCATGAGTAACTGGTAGAATACTGTGTGGGTCAAGTAACAACTGGTATATGTGGCATGGCGTGCTTAATATGACACCAGAGAAAAGACTTCATGCATTCATGCCTTCTTTTGTTATCAAACAATATATGGTATGATCCGTTATTGTGTCATTAAAAATAATCAATATAGTACTTCCATTTATATGCACACTTAAACTTGACCTTTAAGCAAAGGTATCACTTTTACAATACAATAACAAAATAATAGCTAAGAAGAATTTAAAATCCAAACCTTATGATAATAGACTGGTTTACTTCATCTGCAATAAGAAGAAGAAGAAATGTCAAAATTCTCTAAAACTAATGACTGAGGAAGTCCTAGGAACCTAGTTACTCATTATACTTTCAAAAGAGATACTACGTAGCCGTTCGGTACCTCGAATCATCTCCTTTATTGCTGTATCAGTGATAGCATAGACATGTGGGCTATTGGAGGATTTGCGCTGATATGCTTCGATGTAATCATTTCCATACAACGGAACACTCTTGAAGGGATTAATTGCAACAAGAACAGGTCCAGCTTTTGACTGGAAATACATTATTTTCTAAGCAAAGTATTCTTCACAAGCAAGATTAAAACAAAATTCACGAATGGGTGCTTACATATATCAAATCTCTACAGTACCGATACCGAAGATTATACAAAACCGATGGTTCATTCAGATAACTTAGTTGCATTAGATCATCCACCCCATCAAGTATATCCGGATTTGCTGGTAGAAGATTTTCAGCTTTCACTTTTTCCACCTGAGATCAAGGCAAAACAAGAATCATAATGAGCGAGTGAAATGATTACTTTACATGTAACAGAATCTGAATAAACTTACTTTTCCATTAGAGAATGATATCACTGACTCATTTCCATAGGTGGATATGATTGATACCAGCTCCCAGCTTCCATCAGGAAATTGCAACCAAGAATGGACCTTTAAAAAATGTACAGAGGTGATCCCATTAGGAAAAGGTGTAGAGATGATAGCTAATTGAGATGGGTAAGTTATCAGCTTCTGTGCAAACATGATTATGATTTACAAATATCTAGAAAAGTCAGGTCACCCTCCGAAAGAGAGCCAGATACACAGTTAATTCTACAAACATGCAATATTTGACATAAAAGAATGTTTCATTATTTCATAGGTAAAAGGAAGAATACTGTACTGAAAAGTAATAAAAATGTTGAATGACAGTACAAAGCAGGATATCTGGAAAAGTGGAAAACAAACTCCCAAAACAAAAATACTTTCCTATTATCAAAACTAAACAGAGAACATATAAGATAAATTACATAGTGGCTATTTCTCAAGATTCAAAACCAGAGTAGACAATGGAAGTACAAATAAATTGCGCATCCAGAGAAGAAACATACTCCCTCCGTATTTTAAAGTTCCCTACACTTTCCTTTTTGGGATGTATCTAAAAGTTTGCTACACTTTTCCTTTTTGGTAAGTTTTTCTTTTAAAAATACTCAATTACCCTTACTTTTTCTACTTTTTATCTTCTCTTTCCTACTTTTCCACCCTCTCTCCTACTTTTTCTACATTATTCATTACCCCTACTATTTCCCCCTTAAATATTGTGTTAACCCCTAGTGTAGAGATCTTTTAAATATGGAGGGAGTATACAAGATCTGAACAAAAAAACACCTCGACCACAAAGCACATGCATTACGATAGACATCAGTGGCCCCAAGTTAAGTAACATTTTTTGAAATTTCTATATGTGAACATTTTGAAATTTCTAGGAATGATTTTTTTCCGGCCCACCTCTGCTTTATCTCCTATCTATAGTCTATACCACTGCATCAAACAACACGGCTACCACTCGGAGAATCTAAGTGCCCCAGCTTTTGTAAGGAATGCACTTCTTTATCAAGTTTCCTTCAGTCCTGAACCATGTGAAATGTATTTATCCCCTACCATTCCATTGCTTACTTTACCTTATTTAATGAATACAACAACTCCTTTGACCCTAAATAATTTACACTTCTGTTTTTCATCTGTCCCAAAACTATTACTCATTTCAACTAGACAGCTTCAATCTTCATAATTCCCGAGTACACCGAGTAGTATTTATTATACAATGTATGTTGCTTCATTTATTATCCACTAAATTTCACTCCAAGACTCCAAGAGATTGTTGAATAGAAGAACATGAGATATCATAATATCAAATTGAATGAATTAGATGATAGAATGAAGTTACATAAATTGGTTTCAAATAGTAACAAAAATATAAAGAGACTTTCAAGAGGGCAATCAAAACATACATGGAAAAACAGAGAAAAATCAAAGAATGATCTCTTCACATAGTTCGCAAGGCGGAATGCATGATAACCAATTCATATTGCTTAGTATGCATTATTAATGAACGAAAAGTCCATGCAAATTATTTGCAGATATGAGGAAGAAATTAGAGTGCAATAATTTCTGTAAATAAGCCAAATGATTCATCATTTGGACAGCTCTCAATAATTTTGCCATGTAAGCAAAGAGGCCTGAGGAATCGTCTACATTTTTTGTTAGCCAGGGGTTGATCCCTAGAGAAGATAAGCATTTTACATCTCATTTCTGCATTATAAATGTCTCTTCAAGATACTATAACCACAAACTAAAAAAAATTATCCTACAGTTTAATCCTATAAATACGCATAAAGCCTGTCAGACCAGGTACACAAATTCTCATACCATCATCTCAAACTACACCAAGTGACTATATGCAGATATGCTATGAATAAATCAAATGAGTAGGATTTATTAAAAGGAGAAACATCCAAAATTAAGAGGTTACATACCTTCTTAACTGCATATACTTTGGTGTCACTCCACTTGGATTGAATTCCAGTAGGAGAAAGTGATCGTGAAGGGGAAATAGGTACATTCAGATCATCATCAAATGCAGGATGTCTTTCCTCTGCAGAAACACTAAAACTTCTATAAGGGGATTCATCATTAGAAATGCCATTAACCTCAGTGATGAATTCCACATTATCTGCAATCACATCTGATGTCATCCTATAGATTTAAGGAACCAGAATTTACAAATCTAACACATCCAGTGGCAAATATTTGATCAACTGAAGAGACAATGGCACAGAACCGTTAGGTCTCTGTGTCTGTTCTCTTAATGCTGCCCTTCAACTAAACTCTTCGATATAAGCAGGCTCCAATAATTGGATAAAAAGCTGAAACCTTTTCACCTCTTTTTCATGAAAAAGGTTAATTGAACTTTCCAAAAGGTCCCACCATGGATAGGAGCATAACATATACTAATTGCTGGCTTTACACAAACCACCCACGCGAGGTCCCAACTAGTGGCTCCTCTTCTCTTAGTGATTAATTATACTATTCGCCACATCACTATAAAAATCACTCAAACTTCAACTCCAAACTATCCTAATCTCAAAACTCTGAAGTATCCAGATATTTCTACAAGTCCAAGTTGTACAGAATCCGAAAAAATAGAATTAGTCAGACTCTAAGAGCAACTCTCCACCACGAACTTCCTTTCTTCAATTGCAGTCTCTTTTAAACGACTCTTTAATTCGATTCAATAAAACATCGCCAAAATTTGATATTTCCAAGAACAATGGATCGTACTGGCCTAGCAACTTTCGATCTGAAACTAAATTTGGCAATCGAATTGCGTCAAAAGCTCCTCAGATGAGTTGCAAATCTGTGCAGGTTCAAGAAAATAGCTCAAAAACCAAAAAGAGAGATCTCCGGAAATGATCAAAATGGATCCAGAACCTGCATTTACTTTCCCAATTGTAACTTAAACTGTCAACCCAGCCAGTGGGATTCTAGAGAAAAGAATACTCAAACTTGGTAGAATCCGACTGATGACACAGCTGCCAGTTCATTACTAGAAAGAGGGAGATTCCGGGAGCAAAAAACCAGGAAGATATTTTGCCCCTTAGCTTGGCTACTCACTGCTATGGCAGTCTTTTTCTTCTTTTTTTTCCTTTAAAGCTCAAAAGCGTTTTAGTGGGAAAATGCAAATACCACTAGTCCACTAGACCGCTGTATATTCGCTAAAGACCCAAATTTTGAATTTTCAAACAGCCCAGATTCAGAGTTCGTATACTGTACATTCCGCTCTACGGTAAGGACCATGCAAACCAATTCATCAAATTCAATACATGTAGGCAATTGAGCTTGGATCAAATGGGTATCAAGTAAGCTCGTTACTCGTATCATTGACAGTCCAAAATAAGTAGTCCAACTATCGGATGGAGTGTTTGCCTATAGTTGTTCTGTTTGCCTGAAGTAGTTTAAGATAATTATTGTAGACTTTATGGAAATGGAAAGTAAGAAGTTTTTGGTACCATAGTAGTATTATAACAGTACTGTAACTGCTTTTAGGCGAACTTTTTTTCCAAAGGGAATTGTGACAATTAATTTGATACGTCCTGAAAAGAAAAGAGAAAATTGTCGGGAATAAAGACTCTTTCATATAACTTTGATTTAAATAGGACCTAATTAAGTTTTTTTTTTTACTTCAGTAGACCTGAATTAATCCCTTTTAAGGAAACTTAAATATAACTTACCTAAAATATCCCTGCATTACTCCTAATATATTTCCCCTTTCATTCCTAACGACTATTTCTTCTGCAAATTTGTGTTGTAAGTTTGCTTGTTGTACTTTCTGACTACGGTTTTGTGTTTGGTGTCTTCGAATTTTACTTGTCTATGAATTCCGTGATTCAGTTTTCTTCACACTCTGAAATTATGTTCATCTGCAATTTTGTCTACAACACTTCAACATTATGTCTACGTTCTATCACTTTTGTATACTGGACTTGGAGATTCTTCTGCATCAATAGCTTTTGAAGTTCATAATACATCTCAGTTTGTCTATTACTTGTTTTTTGTTCTTATAACACTGAGTTTAATTTGTATTACTATTTTGTTGCCGCTTTTTTATTTGTTGTTTTTGCATTTATTTGTTCATTACATAACCACATTTGTTTTTTGCATTCTTCAGCTACATCTTCAAATGTTGAAGGCCTTGCTCTTAATGAACATTTTGATTTAGACTCTTTTTGTGATTTGCAAGATATCCAAGTAATTTCTCACTTTCATCCTACTCATATTGCTATAAACTCTATATACAATGATAAGAAATCATTAGACCATCATTTGAAGATGCATGTCATTTCAAATATTTTCCAATATTAGATAAGGAGCTCGTTTGGTAACAATAAAATTGGCTGAATTGGCTGATTCTACTGAAATTTATGAAGTTCTAGCTGAAGTGACTGTATTGGCTGATTCTGCTGATTCATAAAAGAAATTATATTTAAATTATTTGTTATTAATAAATAAAATAAAAAAGTATATGAAAAGATCCTCTGCAGTAGCTTTAGCCTATACAGCCAGAAAAGTAACTCCAAAAAGGGGTCACCAAACGGGCTCAAGGACATCAACTAAAAAATTAATGCATGTTGTTTGCGTTGATGATGAGGATTGTGATTGGGTTGTACGTGCAATGAGGTTGGGTGGCTGTCGTCAAACGTTTCAAATAAGAAGGTAATTTAATCATTTGTGTTACCGAACTGCTCGTTTTAAATCTGATGTTGTACTATATTTTCACTTACTGTCTGTTTACTATCTTTTTAATGTCTATGAAACGTTTTACAACTTTCCAGGTTTGATTCTGTGCATACATGCTCACTGGATGTGGGGCAAGGTCCCCAATGCTAAGCTACCACGGAAATAATTGCTGAACTCATCAAACACCGGTATGCGGATGCATGTAGGAAACCTATGCTCCAAAGGATATTATTGAATTGAACAGCTTACCTGACCAAACGGAAGAACAATTTTAACGTTTTCAACGTTTTGCGCCTCTGATTTTTTAGGGCTCTTTGTTTCGAAATCACTATCAGATTGGTCTTCTTCATCTTCTTCCGCAATTTCAACGTTTTGAGCATCTGGTTTCTTCTTTCTCTTCGCCATTTATTCGTCTTTACTGACTCCTTCGTGTCCTCTAGTAATCGCGCGCCCTTGCTATTCGAAGAAGAAGGTTGAAAATCCGAAGAACTGGAATTTTTCCGTTGAGGTGCGGTTGAAAGGTGTGAAGCCTTTGTTTTTACCGTTCGGGAAGTTTTAATGTTTAGGCGCCAGAGGTTTACACGTGGCGCGAAGGTTTTAAAACTTAAGGGTATGATTGTCAAATCCTGTACACTTATGTCCTATGCGAATTTTGACTCCTAATTTTGGAAAATTGCTATGATTTGGTCCTATTTGTATAATTTTTCCAAAAGAAAAGTGGACAACTAAAGCGCGATACGGAAGGAATATCCACTTAACATTTCATCACTCCAAGCCTATAGTAAATTTTGAAAACTAACACATGGAGTAGTAATCTGCCCACATCTCAAAATTGAAAATACTTGAAAATAGTCATAACTCTTCATTATCAGTAGTATTTTAACGTTAAAACCAAGGATCACGAGAATCCATATCTTGTGGACTCTGACCTGAAAATCTAACTATGCCTCGGGAGGTGGAGACACACAAGGTTTTGTATTAGATGTGGCAGCTTCGAATATATATTACTCCCTCCGTCCCCTTTTATATGTCCCGTTTTACTATATTGGGATGTCCCTATTTAATTGTCTCATATCTTATTTGGTAAAGTTTGTGTGGCTCAAAATTATTCTTACTTTATTCTTACTTTATCAATTACTATCAACCACACAAATCCACTTTTCTTAATTAAAACTTGTGTCACCCTCTTCCGGGACATTTAAAAGGGGGCGGATGGAGTAAGATTGACAAGGTGGGCCTACAGATTGAATATATTAGAACTGACAATTCGTCCTACAAGTTGAATATTTTAAGATTGACAATATTTTAAGATTGACGGGGTGGGCCTACAGATTGAATATATTAGAACTGACAATTTCATCCTACGATTTTTTTATGAAAGGTTAATAATATAAATGCAGAAATTAAATACATTGTATAAAAGGGGCATACCCCTTTTCAGCTGATGCAAAACAGGCCTTTGCTCAGCAAACAACACCCAAAATCACTCAAAACGTGACATGAGATAACCTCCGAGAATAAGGATAAAAAATCTATCATATCAATGGGGTATATCTTGAATAGCACTCGATAGACAAGAAATTTAATCTGTTCGAACACTCCTTGGATGGTAGCTGTTTTATGAGCAAATATGACTTCGTTCCTAGCTTTCCAAATAGAATAAACGTTACAACAAAAAGATAGCCTGATTGCCTTGCTCTTCAATCTTGTACCCCTATATTGCTTAATACACATCTTGACAGTACTAAGAAGTGTGGAAGGATTTTTCTTGACATTCAGCCATTTTTTAACCCCCCCTCCATATTGCACAAGTGAATGGGCAATTAAAGAACAATTGTGTAGCTGATTCCATGTGGCTCTTACAAAAACAACAAGTACGATTCATATCAATAAAAAGAAGATTATCACACGTAGCTAGCCTATTTCTAAGTCCCAACCATAGGATAAATGAGAATTTAGGAGGGATATAATCCTTTGATATTTGTCTCATCCATGGTTTGCGTTGTCCTTTAGTTCTCAAAATGTCATAGATTTTAGCCGCTTGCAGCTTCCCTAGGTGACAAAAGGTTGTAAGCTTGTGTATCATAGCATTTTGTCCTCCCATCTTAGTGATCAAGGTGTCCCTGATTTTAATCAATCTGTTGAAGAGGAATGAAACACTAGATGGGGGTTTCCACTCCCAAATAGAACATCCTTTAAGGTAAACACTATGGATCCATTTTATCCTGAATGTGTCTTTTTTTGTGTGAATGTTCCAGAGTGTTTTGAAGAGCATGTCGGAATTCCATGATTTGCAATCGAAAAGCCCGAGACCTCCCTCTTCCTTCGATTTACAAATGTCTGCCTAAGCAACTTTGGCATTCGGCCCACCCCATAAAAATTGTCTACAATGGGAGGTAATCTTGTCAATTATTGCAACTGGGATAGGGAATACCTAAATCCAGTAAGATTGGATACCTTGAATGTGACACCGCACCCGAACGTCCTTGAAAAACTCAATATAAAAAAAATTAATTTCTATGTATTGAATTTTCGATTTCCAAACAATTGTAAAACGATTAATGTTTTACGTAGCGCATGATTGATTTTTGTATTGTTCAAACTCGTATATTAGTGTCAGGTTTGCAAATACTTATTTGGGCCTTATTAATGAACATAAGAGCCCAACATTATCTAAATAATGTTACATAATCTTTCAAGACAATTTGAGGAAGGTCGGGCGGCCCAAACATTATTTTGGGCCCAACCTGCTAAAAATAGCAAGTATTCGAGAATGGCGTTCTAGACCCACTCGGGAGTGACCCACACGGCTAGTAGCCCAAAAATATGTATGACAAATGTCAAATAAGTGATAGAGTGATTAAAGAAGAATACAAATGTCTATAGCCCCATCTTTGGCATTATTGAGC